TGACTAATACATAATGTCCAAGTATTTGTATGGATATAAAGTATTTAAAGTGAGAACAACTTGATTCTTTAATTACATTGCCTCACTTATTCGCGAAAGGGAGAATGTGTTTATTATAATAAAGCTTTAAATACGTATCTTTTTCAAATAATTTATTTAATACCATATAATTATTGACCAAAATAAAACGTTTAGAACAATTTAATGTAACTTTTAGATTAAATTTACTATCATTAATTAAATTTTCTGCTTTTAATTTATGGCAGTCCAAATGTTCCTTACAGTTTATTTACCAAATCAAATTATGCAATAATAGGATTAATGATAAATGACTTGTTGATTAAATCGAGAATTAGTATAGATGACTAGCTCATTCTAAAATTACAATAAGTTAATCGGTTGTCATATAACTCACGCAAGTACACATTTAAATAATGTGCTATTCGCTGAGATAGTTATAAAGAAAAATATGCTTATACGTATCAAAGATGACTATAGAGAGGTTTGACTGAATACATATAAAAATAAATATAATCTTGAGTAAAGTTAGTGAGACAAGAAAATTAGCTATTGTAATAAGTAAATGCAAAATAAAATGAATATGACTAAAGGTAATCTAATGGTAGAATAGAATCTGTCATTAAGTTGATTGGCTTGAGAGTTATAATTAATACAAGTACTACCATATGAACAGTTATTATATTGTTTAGGTTGAGGATTACTATTAGGACTATTACCATTACTATTACTACTAGGACTATTAGTGGGAGTAGCTGTATTAAATGGATAATTTGGATCACCTCCTTGTGTACATACAGACAACACGCTAGTATCACCACACGTAATCCAAGTGCTATGGAAATCACCAAGTTCACTGCATTTCTTCCAAGTCCAATATTGACTAACATATGGCCCACTACAATCTACGTAGCAGGTGGTAATATTAGTTACTCCGGGGCAACTTTGAGACACATATCCCTGAGCTTCTGTTAGTCCAGCACTGGAGCCATCACCGACTCCAACTGCGACAGAACCACCAGTCTTTACACACATTACAACCTGGCAACTTTTGTCTTGTGCCGTAACACCAATCATTGATAAACCAAGGGAAATCATTAAAATACCAAAAATCAAAGAACCATCTTGTAAAATCTTTCTTCCAAGACATAATATTTTGATAGTATTCATTATCATGGTTTTGATATGAAAATTAAAATTTGGAAAAAAGATAGAAATAAACAAGACAGAACAATTGGTAATTTAGATATTGACCAAACGTATATAGCTGATTTAAAAATAAACAATTCACTTAGGAAACGTTTAACAAAAACTCTGTAACTTAATAAAACAATTCGTTTATCCAGAGATGTGATTGTGTGAGATTTGTGAGGAATTACCATTAAAGAATACTATTTTGTTTGATAGTATATTTAACGTTACAAGTAGTTATAAATGCTTAGTATAGTGATAACGTTCTGTATCAATCACTATCCGAGTCATTAAATTTTCGCCAAATGAGCCTTCGATATAAAACGAATACGTGGTTCACCGTTTACGAGTGACATTCTTATATTCGAAGTTTTTCTCACGTTATTTGTGCATTGATTCTACTTCATTCTTTGAGCGTCGATTGACGGTTTAATGCTTAACCAAATTTAGTAATCGATAGTTATCGCGATATTTCTTAATTGAGTGACGATTAAAAGATACGTAAACGTGAGGATGCCAAGCATTTTCGTGTGTGTTTGAATTGATATTAATTTTGAAATTCTTAGTTATACAATGACCCCATGAGGTAGTATTGTGTTATATATACTGTGACATTTTCTCAATTTATGTCAATTAATAACGTACTGTACGTACGTACGTATGTAACTTTGCAGTCTGTAAGCCACATATTTATATATTTTAATTTTATTTGATGAAAAAAAATTTTTTAAAAAAAATTTCTATAACTTATTGAATTTATGCTTTATTAATAAATTTGTTTTTTAAATATTTTAGTCGACTTAATATAACGAACCTTTCTGTAACGAACTCTGGATTATGGTTATTATTAACATATTTATTAATTTCTAAATTGAGCTTTTTTATATAATTTTGCGTGACAAATTTTTATGTAAACAACGACTTATTTTGATTGATGACACTTTATTTTGACCATTCAAAAGCTTTTTATGCATATAAATGATGACCAAGGAAAACCAGACTTTGAGCTTTTGTATTTACAACATGTTGGACTTATTTATTCAGATTGAATCGGTCTTGGTGTTACTATATTCCTTACTGAATTTTTTTTTTCAACAGTAATGAGAAAGAATATATAGTAGCTCCAAAATATAACGATCATTTTTATAACGAACTTTATTTTGGCAATTATTATACTGTAGAGTTGAGTGCGTATAATGACATAGCATAATTTCTATAATGAGCTTTTTTCGAAAAATTTTACATATATGCCCGTCAGGTTTATTTTTTCTATTTAAATTAATATGAGAAGAATAGATAAAACCGCCAAAAAAATTAATTCTGCGGCTAGTACGTTTGTGCTAATTTTTTTTGCGTTAATTTTAATATTTTTTAATATGTCATTTTTGTGGAATGATATGTGTTCCACCATCGTTTGTTCCTACGTACTTTTAGACTAAATATTGTAAAAGAAATATATATATCATTTTCATCTGTTTTTTCAAATACTGTAATACAGTAATACAATTACATAGAATCAATTACATGTGCGACGTCTGGCATGTTACCATAAAAATAGGTGCAATCACATTTTCAGCATGTACGTACATTTAAATCTAGAAATAGCACTTCTAATAAGATTTTTATTTGTATTAAAGTATTGTTATATCTGTTTTACTATATTTTCCACTTCCATAAATCCAGATTGTACTGTACGTACTGTATGTACGTAGCTGAAGTTTTTACGTATCAGTACAATAATTACTTGATAAGGTTATTAATTTTAAATAAGGAAACTATACAATTAATTTTATAAGATTTTCACAACCAATAGTTACTATATTTATTCCCATACATCTAATAACTTACCATGATAAGTAGTTGATTAAACGCTTCTTTTAATATTTTAAATCCAAATTCTGGTTTAATCCAAATATAGCATTTTTCTATTTTTCAATCATTTAACGGTGCCCTTGTAATAAATCTTTATTAAGAATAGTTAATACTTGCAAACAATCCGCCTTCTTTTGTACAGTACATGATGAATTTTATTATATCGGTATATATCAATAATATTTTCACAATTTACATTATATATTGAAGAATAAGAAATATTATATTATCAAAAATCACAATATTTTTTCTAAGTAATACAATTTCATGTAATTTTAATTCTATTTTAATTTTTTTTAATAATAAATTCCATTAAATACCTATATTTAGAATTCTGCGTCTAATTTAATAAATTTTTTTCTAATAATTAAAAAAATTTCTTGGTCTTATATTTATGCGTTTTTGAGATTATCGATTTTTGTAATTTATTTCTATCAACTCTTTGAAAAGCATCAGGAATTGATTCGTTTATACATTTTTGATGGTAAATATGTGCATTTTTACAAACTTTAACTAAAGCTCCTTCACTTGTTAAAACATTGCTAAAAATCATTCATTTTTGCAATAGCGACAAAATATTCTAGATCTAGTGTAAATTATTAATAACATAGATTGTCTCCGTCAATAAAGCCTCGTTAATAGTGCTAGTAAGAAACTAAATTTGCCTAAATTTGCGATTTGCTACAAAAATTTCCTCTTGGCGACATATATTAATAATAATTTACATTAGATCTAGAATATTTTGTCGATATCGTAAAAATAAACGATTTTAGCAAAGAAATTGTCTATATATATTACAATCATCATAGCTGTCAAGCAAACATTTAAAGCTTTGCTTTATTGTATAGAAAATTTATTTAATGTCTTTATTATTGTATTATTTGTATAAAAAATTTATTTAATATCTTTGTAATTATATAGGATGTCGGAAAAATATAAGGATGTTAAAGTACTATTTTTACAAGCAGCTTCTTTTAAGGCTTTTACATCTTCAGAATCTAGCCCATTATAAAAAAGACTTAGAGAGGTCAAAGTGGTATTAATGTAAAGAGCTTTTGCAAATGCTTGTCCTCCTTCATTACCAATATTATTCCGACTGATATCTAAAGAATTTAGAGTATTGTTTTTACAAAGTGCTTTTGCAAATGCTTTTCCTCCTTCACAATCAAACTTATTAGAGCTAACATTTAAAGAAGTTAGAGCGATATTTTTACAAAGGGCTTCTGCCAATGCTTTTCCTCCTTCAGGACCAAGTAGATTATATGAAATATTTAAAAAAGTTAGAGTAGTGTTTTCACAAAGAATTTTTGCTATTGCTTTTCCTCCCTCAAAATCAAGTTTATTACAAGAAATGTTTAAAGATGTTAGGGTAGTATTTTTACAGAGTGCTTCTGCTAATGCTTCTGCACCCTTTGTCCTAAGGTTATTGCCATAAAAATTTAAAGAAGTTAAAGTAGTGTTTATAAAAAGTGCCTCTGCGAATGCTTTTGCTCCTTCAAGACCAATATGATTATTACCAATATTTAAAGATGCTAAAGTAGTATTTTTGCAAAGCATTTTTGCGAATGCCTTTCCTCTTTCAAAACCAATATTATTATAACCAATATCTAAAGAAGCTAGATTCGTATTTTTACCAAGAGCATATGTTAATTCTTTTGCACTATTAGAACCAAGTTGATTTCCATAAATACGTAAAGAAGTCAATGTAGTGTTCATGAAAAGTGCTTCTGCTAATGCCTTCACTCCCTCGGAACCCAATTTATTAAAAGAAAGACTTAAATCAACCAATGTATTTTTCTTACTAATAATCTCCATTAATAGAGTTATTTCCTTATAACCCAAGTTAACATCATGAAGACTTAAATTGCTAATAGTGTTGTTCTTATTAATATTTTCAAATATTGTATTATTAATGTTAATATAGCAAAGATTTAAATATTTAAGATTTTTGCTTGTTCGTAGAAACATTGAAATCAAAGAATGCTTAATAGCAGTTGCAGGCTCGATGCCAACTTTTTTATAATAAAAAAACGTGAAAGTGAATGATTAGATCCTTTAATACCAAGCCAATTCTTTATTCCATAAGACAAATGAATGCCAACTGATTTAGTATAACTTGCGTACTCAAATATTGGCCTTGGATAATTTGGAAGATTAATTTTAAAGGGAATCAATAAAGATTGTTCTTTAGCATTTAACGCTAAAAGATACATTTTTATAAGTCTTTTATCATCGAAATGGTTTGTTGGTTCACTCCATAATATTGGTATAATAATTCTACACCATTTGCGATTTACAAGAAGGCATGAAAATAGGCTTTTAAAGTCTTTCCGAAAGTTATTAGTTCTGAGGTTATTAAATATTTCGAAAAGGCATTCGTTTGGTAACTTTATCATTTTGGGGAAGCTATGAATTTAATGTTTAACGGATTTTTCTTCCGATATATAACCAATCGGAAATGTTGTGAAACGTTTTACTAAATTTATAATTCGGTCGATGATTACCGAAGTTATTTCCATTATTTTACGTACCAACATTAACACAACCTTATCTTTTGTAGAAAAGCTTATTAAAAAAGCGATTCATCATTCTGATTTATTTTCATTTTATTCATATTAATTAGTTATGATGCATAGAATAATCAATTTTTTGCATTCCATTACTAATCATCTGAAGCGTTACCCTTAACATGAATAAAAGAACAATACTGCAGTAGTGCACACCCTAATCATCAAGATGAGTTTGTTAGTACATACGTATAATAGCAAAATAATAATAATAATAATATCATTTATTGGTTAGGTTTATATTTTTACAAGTACAGTACTCTGATTTATTGTTTGTATAATTAGCAAGATATAGCTTGGACTTCTGAAAAATGATTTTAAACCACTATAATGCAGCCAGGAAGTTATAAATTTAGTGGCAATAGAATTAAGTATAGTATAAAAAAAAAAGAAAAGAGGAGAGAAAAAAGGGAAGAGAAGCAGAGAGGGAGAAAGAAATAGAGAGCGAGAAAGGTTATAAAAAAAAAATTTTTAAAATTTGATTATATTTTACAATAATTTTTTTGATTAATATTAAATCAATTTATAATTTTTAGTCAAAATTAT